CGTAGCTCTGTGAGGATGCCGAGGTGCAGGGAGGTCATGCATCCTGCTCAATGCCCAGGGAGGAAAGGGGCAGAGTGGAGCTGGGAGTCACAACCAGCTCTAATGGACTCGAGTAATCATGAGGACCCTAAGAGAGGCATGGGTAGGAGAAAAAACTGGGGCGGGAGTTACGTCACCTATGACCTGCCCCTAGCCTGCCCTGTCACTGCCACCCAGTGTGACTACACTAATGACAGCAAATGACAATGAATGGGGACCAGCTGAGACCCAGGCAACCTCCGCAGCTCTCTAAGAAGCACACCTCCTGCCATCTACAGAGCAGCAGAGGATCTTAGAGACGAATACGTATCCTCCTCACATTTCGGCCAAGAGAGAAAAGGCAGGAAGAGCGTAGAGATGGCCCTGAGGTCACCTGAGAAGTGACAGTGCCGAGTGGGCATGCAGGCTCTGGTCATGGCCCCATGACACCCTGAGGATGCGGACTCCTGGTTTCCCAGCGTGAGGCAAGGCTGCCACACGGGCAAACTGGCAGGATAAGGAGGTCATGGGAAACGAGGGGAGGGACTAAAAAGGTTTGAAAAGCACTACTTCTTGCTATCAAGGGTCATGGATAGAAGCTTTTTGACTTTGTGGAAAGGAATACGTGAGTTGTGTGGGAACATGTGTGATATTGGCTTTGGATGTACACAGCATGATCATAATACCTTTATGGTCTAATAATGACCTTCAGAAGCAGCCTCTGTAGTGAACTCCAATAGTTTCTTATGGCCAATAGCATAAAAATTAAAATGAAAACAAACCATACCTGCATTTGTTTTAGTTTGCTAGGGCAGACTGCCAGAACAAAGCGCCTCCAACCCTGAGGCTTAAACCACAGACAGTTCCTTTCTCCCAGTTCCGGAGCTGAAGTCCAAGACCAAGGTGTTGGCCGAGTTGGTTCCCTCTGAGGCCTCTCTCCTGGGAGTATTGCTGACCATCTGCTTGCTGTGTCTTCACATGGTTGTGTCCTAATCTCTTCTTTTTAAAATTTTACTTTTAAGTTAATTTAATTTATTTGATAGGCAGAGTTACAGAGAAAAGGAGAGACAGAGGGAAAAAAAAAAAAAAAGATCATCCATCCTCTGGTTCAATCACCAAAAAGCCACAACAGCCAGGCTGGGCCAAGTGGAAGCTGGGAGCCTGGGACTCCATCTGGATCTCCCATGTGGGTGGTGAGGGCCCAAGCACTTGGGCCATCTTCTGCTGCTTTCCCAGGGAAGCAGAGCAGTCAGGGCTCCAGCTGGCGGTCTGATATGGGATGCCTGTATTGTAAGCAGCAACTTAACCCTCTGTTACAATGCCAGACCCTTAAACTCTTCTTAAAAGGACACAAACCGGCTGGCACTGCGACTCACTAGGCTAATCCTCCACCTGTGGCGCCAGCACACCGGGTTTTAGTCCCGGTCAGGGCACTGGATTCTGTCCCGGTTGCCCCTTTTCCAGGCCAGCTCTCTGCTGTGGCCGGGGAGTGCAATGGAGGATGGCCCAAGTCCTTGGGCCCTGCACCTGTGTGGGAGACCAGGATAAGCGTCTGGCTCCTGGCTTCGGATCAGCATGATGCACCAGCCGCAGCGGCCATTGGGGAGTGAATCAACGGACAAAGAAGACCTTTCTCTCTAACTGACCACCACTCTGCCTGTCAAAAAAAAAGGACACAAACTATGTTGAATGAGGCCTCATTTTATCTCAGCTATCTTTTTTTTTTAAGATTTATTTATTTATTTATTTGAAAGGCAGCCGGCGCCGCAGCTCACTAGGCTAATCCTCCACCTTGTGGCGCCAGCACACCGGGTTCTAGTCCCGGTCGGGGTGCCGGATTCTGTCTCGGTTACCCCTCTTCCAGGCCGGCTCTCTGCTGTGGCCAAGGAGTGCAGTGGAGGATGGCCCAAGTGCTTGGGCCCTGCACCCGCATGGGAGACCAGGATAAGCACCTGGCTCCTGCCTTCGGATCAGCGCGGTGCGCCAGCCGCAGTGCGCCAACCGCAGCGCGCCGGCCGCGGCGGCCATTGGAGGGTGAACCAACGGCAAAAAGGAAGACCTTTCTCTCTGTTTCTCTCTCTCACTATCCCTCTGCCTGTCAAAAAAAAAAAAAAAAAAAAAAAGAAAGAAAGAAAGAAAAGAATAGAAAAGAAAAAGAAAAAGGCAAGCTATGGTGTATGTGGGGGTTGGGGGCAGGTCTTCCATCCTCTGGTTCACTCCCCAAATGGCCACAACAGACAGAGCCGGGCTGATCCGAAGCCAGGAGCTTGTTCTGAGTCTCCCACATGGGTGCAGGGGCCCAAGCACTTGGGCCATCTTCTACTGCTTTCCCAGGCCACAGCAGAGAGCTGGAACACGAGTTAAGCAGCCAGGATTTGAACTGACACCCATATGGGACCCTGACACGGCAGGTGGCAGCTTTACCCACTATGTCAGCGCTGACCCCAGCTCAGTTACGTCTTTAATGACCTTATCTCCAAATACAGTAGCATTTTGAAATACCAGGGTGGGGGTAGGGCATCAAAACATGAAATTTTGGGGAACACAGTTCCCACCCATTGGTATCTGTATTGATAGTGATACTAATATACATATATTTATGTGGGTCTTATTTAAACCTGAAATTATGGCAATGAGAACTCTTCCAAATCCTATTGTGACAATTAAAGGATGCATATTCCAACTCTAATTTCTCCAGCTTAATTAGCATGTGGCCTGTTTGCACAAACTTATTAGGAATGAGCATTCTCTCTGCCAACTGTTATCTAATTTCCGGGCTCCTGAGGCCGACTGCTCCATTACTGCTGGGCAGGGTGAAGACGGTTGGGGGAAGCCACCAAGCTGCTGGCCGCCTGTCAGAGTGCCCGCGTGGCATCAGATCTGAAAAGGCACACCGTGGGCAGCAAGAAAGAGGCTTGCGCCGTGAGCGTCCTCTGGCCTCAGTTCTTTGATTCTCTTTGAGGCATGGACTAAAGGCTGGGACACGCATCCATACACAAGAGGCACAGACATGAATGTGGGACAATTATTCCCTCCTTTGAAGTGAGAGGCTGTGCTTAAACCAGAATGCACAGGATTTTCTATCTTGCTTTTTTAAGGGAATTAAGTTTACCCAAGAATATGGCAACTTCCCATCCACCTCCCGGGCTCCCTCCTTCCCTCTTCCGTTCCTTTGTTTCCTTATCTCCCTCTCTCAGAATTACTTAGAAGGCAAGGGTTTGCCCTGCACAGGTCCTCTGCGTGGTCCTGGAGGGGAGAAAGAGGTGACTCAGAAGGGCTGTGCCTGGCGGGCTTTCTGCTGACAGCGCATTCCCTGCTCTGGTTTTGGTTTTGCTCTCAGGCATTGCTCGGCTGGTTCTTGGCGAAGCTGCAAGCCCCTTTGGCTAACTGCATGCAGAGCTCCCTTTCCTTCAAAGCTCTCCATCCTCCTTGTAGGATTGGTCCTGCTGCCGCCACAGCCCCTAGCGCCCCCTCATCGCCTCCCTCTGAGCCGGTGCCTAGGCTGAAGGCACCAGGCTGCTGACCCCTCTTGCACTGTCTCGTCCCCTAGACTGCTTTATGTGAGCTGTGCCTTCTCATTCCTCCCACTTCTTCCTCTTCTCATTTGACTCCTTTGCCGATTCACATTGATCATCTCTGATGAGCTGGCTTAGTGTGAAAAAACCAGGGTTCCAGCGATCTGCTTCCTTTCTGCCCACTGCTGTCTATTCCAGGCAATCAACAGGGGCCTCAGGTCCTCGTTCATGAGCTGTGGGCACAAAGCAGGAGTTCTTGGTCTGTTTGCCCTCACTCCCTTTGAAGCTACTTCAGAATCAATGAACATTAGCCACTGTGTTTATTTTTTTAAAATAAAGAATGGGAAGGGTGTGGAGGGTGATGGAGACGAGTCCATAATGTGATTTCCATCTTACCTGCTGGTAAGATTCATGCCTGGAATGGAATTCAATTTGTAGGAATTGCAAACGTCATCCCTACATCCTCAGTCCGCTGGGAAGAAGTGGTGAGACCGACTTTTTTCCTCTTGTAGTCACATGGAGCCAGCCAAAGCCTGTGATGTCCCCTAAGATGCCCAAGCCCTGGGCTGGCAGCCTCCCTCCTCTTCTGCTAATCAAATGCTGTTCCCTCTACAGGGGCTGCCTGAGCCACCTTTGTTCCAGGGACTCAGCAGAAGTGTGGGGAAGGAATCAAAATGTGGAACTTCTCCAGGCTCCGCAGTCCCTCCCTGCGTCCCTCCAGTGAACTTGCTGTCTGTACCACTCACAAGGGGCCCTCCAATGCTGGTCATTAGTCCCTTGAGGACCGCGCACTCTGCTCCTCCCAGCCAGGTCACCTGTTACCTGTGGAGGGGACAGTACTTCGCTCCCCCTCCAGACCCAGCGCTGCCGCGTGGTACAGAGATAGTGTGCAGCGATATTGCGGATTGAAAGGCTGTTTCCTTTTGCTTCCCAGCAGAGTCTGTTGGGAGGCACATTTAGGAAGTCGATTTCCCAGAAGTCCTGTTTTTAGTGTCACTAAATCTACCAGAGCGCTTTAGCGTCCATGCATTTCACAGCGGCAGGTAAATTAGCAGCTTGATTCAACCACATCTATTGAGCAGTCGCTCTGCACCTGTTATTGAGCCAGATGGGGTTCCTGCCTCCTGTGGGTTCAGAATCCACAGGGCCCCCTTGTGGCCCACCCCTGACCCCTGGAACAGTGCTTGTCCCAAGCGGCTGGTCGCAGATGTCCAGCTGGGGAGGTGTGCAAGTTCCCTTGCGTGGTGATGGGGACCTGTCATTCACCTCCTGGGTGGTGCTGAATTGCTACCGCCACCCTCATCCCAGCCCATCCTTGACAGCCCAGGATTTTGCAGGAAGTTAGCAGACTTGGCTCCAGAAAGTCTGCACTGTGGCTTTTCAGGAAACTTCAAACTTAGGTGCCGAAGAACTGACGTGCAGAGGGCAAAGGGAGCCTGGAGGGCTCGTGGCAAGGCTTGCAAGCTGCGTGTCTCAGCGAGCCAGTCCCAGCGGATTCACGTGTTAATTCACTGGCGTGTTGCGCGGCAGAAGCACCCCCCACTCTGCCTTCCCCCACTTCCAACTGTTGTGCTGCGGCAGGGCTCGGGGTGAGTGTCAGCTGAGCCCTTCTTTCTGGGGCAGCCCTCCTGATTCCGTGACAGCCCAGTCTGATGGACTTGGTCTTTGCTTCCCCGTAGCACACAGAGCAACGCGCTCCTTAAAGGGACCTCGTGCTTGTCGGCGCGACTGAGGGCTGGGCGAGGCGGGCTTCCGCCCAAGAATGAGTGGGGAGGGGTCCTGAGGAACCTCCACGTCCTCCCGGCGCGGGGGAGGGAAGGAGCCTGCAGACCGAGGGGACCAGAGCGCCGGTAGCCGGGGCCCGGCTGGCAGTTAGCGGCTGCTAGGGGCGCTGCCTGCGGTGCAGAGGGTGCGGGCGGCGCGCCTTGCGGTTGCCTGCGCTGCCGCGAGCCGGCGCCCAGCGGCGCGCCCGCAGTCAGGCCCCGCGGACTGCTCCGGGCAGGGCCGCGTGCGCTCACCATGAAGGCTCAGCGCTAGGCTTCTGCAGCAGCCTCCGACCGCTCGGATTCGGCGGTGCACTTGGCAGAGGCTCCTGCCCGGCGAGAGCTCGCAGCCAGATCCGCTCTCCAGCTGCCGGGACAACTTCGCCGTCGCCTGTTTACTTCTCCGGGAGCCAGGGACTCTGTCCTGCACCGCAGCCACCCCTGCCCCTCGGCCGCCTCTTAAGTCAGCCTCCCGGGCTCGTCCGACGGCAACCCCGGGGAAGCGCTAGCGAGGAGGGGCTGCGAGCCGAGCAGAAGCCCCCCGACTGCTCAAGCTCTCGTGACCGCCTCTGTTCTGGGGTTCGGAGAGGGCCCGTGCGCTGCCCGGGGAAGCAATGCAAGTCTCCATAGCCTGCACAGAGCACAATTTGAAGAGTCGGAATGGTGAGGACCGACTTCTGAGCAAGCAGAGCTCCAACGCCCCCAATGTGGTGAACGCAGCGCGGGCCAAATTCCGCACGGTCGCTATCATCGCGCGCAGCCTGGGGACGTTCACCCCTCAGCATCACATTTCTCTCAAAGAGTCCACCGCCAAGCAGACTGGCATGAAATATAGGTATGCATGTACGATTCCCTCCGCCCGGGTGTCCGTGTCTGTACAGGTGCGGTGCAGACAGGCCATTGCTTTTGAAAAGTGACTTGCTGCTCCGTGGGTTGCTCTATTTAGAATACTCATGTGTTTCTAAGATAGTTCTTTAGGAGGTCAGAAAAGCCGTGAGTACGTGCGTATGATTTATATATATGGTCCATTTTGTGTATTCTAAGGTGTTATGAACACCTTAGGATCTGTATAGATTTCAGGCTCCCGGGAAATGAAAAAGAAAAAAAAAAGAAAACCCACACAATGGCTAGAAACTGATATTTAGACCAGGGTAGTTTTTCAATAGCAAATGTGTCCTATTTTATGGCAGCCTGTAGTTCCTGTGAGTCTGCCATCAAAAATAGTTTCCCAGCTAGTCCTGCACTCTTATCTTTTGAAAGACCAAGATAGCAAATGCTATGCACAGCTTTTAAGGAAGTTTTGTTCAAGGAAGAAACGCCTATAATGGCAAATTACATCAAGCACTACCGTATTTAAACCTACATCTCTGCTTGAAATACAACGTAGATCTTGGGAAATAAGGAGAAAGGGCCAATTGTTGCAGTCCTGGTTTCACCATACATCTCTAAGCTCCCTCTTTCCCTGCATTGGTTTGCATAGTTAGACATCTTCCTGGGAATAGCGGATGATCTCTTTAACAGGGAATGACTTAAATTTGATAAGTAGAAAATTTCATTGTCCTGTTATGCGACTCCTGCAGCCTCATTGCATCTGCTCTGTACCTAGCCGTCCTGGCTTCCTTTCCTGAAAACTGCTGCTTCTAGGTTCTGGAAACGATTGTGAATGTGGAGGAGAGGTGCTTCTGACGTGTCTTCTAAGGGCTTTGGTTATCCAGTTTGGAGATGTGAGTTTGGTAATTATTTGCATTTAACTATCTCACGTCTTTGTTAGCAACTGCGTCCTAGGATAGGATGAACTCAATCTATTCAAAATAAGGTACACCGCGAAGACCATGCTTCCCAAGTACGGTTGTGAAATAAGCATTTAAACTTATTTCTACAAAAGTTGCCCTTGGGAAAAGTTTCTTGGTAGAGTTCCAGGGAAGGTTCTCATTGTAGATACAAAAAGCACTGTGGTCCTGATATATTTTTTTGAGCCATGAAGCAAAAAACCCTTGGGTGGGAAAAAGCAAAATAAACCGCAGCTAAAGCTGTTTGTCCCAACTGTAGTACCAATATGAGTGACTCTGACTGACTCATTGAAGTGTCTCCTCTGCTTTTCCTGATATCCCAGTGATGGCTAGGGAGGCCCCACAATGGCAGTCCTCTCAATGAGACTGCAGTGTCAAGTTCATTGGCCTTCCCTACCGCTGCTGCTGTGGCACACACCCAGCCCTGCCTGGTGGACACCACGCAGCTCTGCGCTCAGTTCAGCTGCTGAGAGCTCGCTGCGGCCTCCCTGGGCAGGGCCCCAGGATCAGGACACTGCAGAGCGAAGGCAGATCACAGGCCAGTGCACTTGTGGCCTCCAGCAGTTTTGCAGCATTGTGAACTTTCTTTTGGTAAAGCAGAAGAATTAAAAAGTAACACAGCTCATTTCTTGTGGCAAGGTTTCATGGTTGCTTATGGATGACTGTATTGGAAGAATTTCGGTCTTGGGAGGATGTTCAGGAGCCAGATGCTTGCCTTTAAGGTTTTTCCCAGAACACAGCTCAACTCAATCTCCCAAAAGCTCAGAGTATAAGCAAAGTTCACCCAGATGCATGTCATTACTGGTGCCTAAGGACAGCTCTTCTCTGCCAAAAAGTTAGCCAGCTGGGGGCTCTAAGTTATTCATTGTTTAAGGCAACTAAACATGATGCCTCATGTCCACCCCCTCTGTTTTTCTGAATGGCTTAATCTATGACAGTCAGGTGGTCTGCGTGTGTGTGTGTGTGTGTGTGTGTGACTGTGTCCTAACCCTTGCTTTCAAATTCTACTCAGAGCGACCTTCATGAAAGAGATTATGTTATTAGGTCAAATGTAAGTCTAGGAAACTAGACTTACATTGGGAGAGGGGAGGCAGACTATATACTTTTTGATATACTATATAAAAATGATAGAAATCTTTTATTGGCTGAACTATTTATATTTTTGCATTGTTGTCACTAAAGCATTGTGGGCATATATGGACTATTTGTTAACAATAGCAAGCACCAAGAAATAGAAGATAATGCCACAGAATGGGAGAGGTGATTGGCCCAGGAAAGGAATCTGGAAAATGTCTTCCGAGGGAGCTAGAGTGGAAGGTTACTGCCTCCTCCTTGGGGTCACAGTAATATTCTCATTCCAGACAATGAGTTCCATCAGCAGAGCTTCCAGGGGGAAATCCCTGAACCCTGTAGAGGGTTAAAATATTGTCTTTTTGTGCATTTCCTTTCATCGGAATTTGAAATTCAGAAACTGTCAAGCAGTGGTCTTGCAAAGTGAAGAGACAATCATTAGCTATACCAGGAAGCCAACTTTAGCTGGGTAAGCCAAGGTGTATAAGCCAAAGGTTGGCGCTTACATTCAGGTTGGGAAGTAAACCATAAATAAGCAAATCAACAAGCATATAATAAAATCCTCTATTGTGGGGGCGTTCTTTTTGAAGGCTATGTTTGGGGTAGAGATAGTCATACCTGGGTCAACTTAGCATAACCATTTTGAGGTTAACAACTGTTTCAGCTCCAGGATTAATAATTGCGTCTTGGGCACACGTAACTATATCCATGTCTGCCACGCACTTTGCTATCCTGGGCACTTCTCCAGGTCCATCCCTGCTGTGAGGTGCTACCTGGCAGCTGAGGACATACTTATAACTCTGATAAGTAAGCTGACTGTGTTCTTGTTCAATGCCTTACGGTGCTTAAAGCCCAACTTTTTCCTTAGCCCCTGATTACCATCTACTAATAAAGAACTCATGAAACTTTTATAAAGAATTAATATATTCTCATAAAAAGCATCTGAATTTTGCAGAATAAAATGCTCAAAGCCACTGTTACATTTAGATCATCATTCTGCAAGAACCTTGTGTAAAATTGGTTATCATTTCAAGGCTGAAGATCAAAAAATCAACCAGAATATTCTACCACTCAAATCCCACTCTCAACCCAACAGAAGAAGACCCTACCTAATATTTATCCTGAGAGCTATCCTGTATGCAAATTAGAGAACTGTGCTGATTCCTCATGTTCTTTTGGATGTGCTTTATTAGTGTATGAGAGTTCCTGTGTTGTAGTGCTACATGTATTTTAATCCCTGAGTTCATCACACTGTGTTCATTTGATGTTTACCTCTGCATCCATGTATAACAGATTGGCACCTGACTGATCTTGGTACAGAGGCAAACCTGCCATCCTAAGATCAACAAATTACTCAGAACACCTGGTAAACTAGGTTTGTGTGCTTGTTTGTGCTTGCTTGGTTGGTTGGTTTTGTTCCATTTTAGAACAACTATTTTATTTTTAATATCTATACATTTTAAAATTTTTATTTTACTATATTTACTTATTTGAAAGGCAGAGAGACAGAGACAGAGATCTTTAATTTGCTAGTTTATGCCTCAAATACCAGTAACAGCCCAGGGTGGGCAAGGCTGAAGCCAAGAATTTGGAACTCAGTCTAGGTTTCCCATGCGTGTGGCTTGGACCCAAGTTTTTGAACCCTTGCCTGCTGCCTCCCAGGGTGCTCATTATCAGGAACTGGAATTGGAGGTGGTGGAGCTGGGACTCGAACCCTGGCAGTCTAGTATGGAGTGTGGACATCCCAAGCAGCATCTTCGCTGCTGTGTCAAATGCTCACCCAGAGATAACTTTTTAGAATGATCCAGGTGCTGGTGTTTGGCCTGGCCTCAGTGTGTCACTCAGAATTTGTGAGTTAGCCGTTTTAATTTGTAAATTATCTTCCTTCATTCTGAAATTGACAGTTTAGTTCCAGATCTATTTGAAAATTGATGGACCTAATTTCATTGGGAAAGATTTTATTTTAACATACATCCATGTCAATATCACCTTGTGCTATATATTGCAAAAGACATACTTTGAAAATTTTAAGAGAATTATTTACAAAAATAAATATTGTATGAGCAATAACCTTTAAATATCACTAAAAGTCACTTTTTCCCCAAGTTTTAACATTAATCACATTTTGCTATTATAGTTTTTTAAATATTATATATTCACAAGAATTTGTTTTAAAAAATGTATAGAAAAAGTCGATGTACCCTTAAATTTCATGTTTCTCAGTGGTAACAATTTGCATAGCTATAGCATGATATCAAAAGTAGGAAGTTGGCATTGGGACAATCTACAGAGTTTAGATTTCACCATTAGTACATGCATTTACTTTGTGTGTGTGTATGTGTGTGTGTTTAATTTTTTATATATTTGTTGGAGAAGCATGAAGACCAGAGAGAGAAAAATCGTGTCTACTGGTTAACTTCCCCAGTGCTTGCTGTGGGTGGAATCCAGTAGCCTGAAACTCTATCAAGGTCTTCCATGTGAGTGGCAGGAAGCAAATTACTTGAGCCACTGTTTCCCAGGGTCTGCATTAGCAGGAAACTGGAGTCAGGAGACAGAGCTGGTATCAAACTCAGACACTCCTATGGGGCATATAGGAATTTTTTTAAAAAGATTTATTTATTTACTTGAAAATCACAGTTGCAGAGAGGCAGAGAAAGAGAGAGAGAGAGAGAGAGAGAGAGAGAGGTGTTCATTCTGCTGGTTCACTCCCAAAATGGCTGCACTGGTCCGAGATGAGCCAATCTGAAGCCAGGAGCAAGGAGATTCTTCCAGGTCTCCCACATGGGTGCAGGTTCCCAAGGACTTGGGCCATCTTCTACTGCTTTCCCAGGGCATAGCAGAGAGCTGGATCGGAAGTGGAGCAGGTAGGACTCAAACCAGTGCCCATATGAGGTGTGGGCATTGTAGGCAGTGGCTTTACCAGATGTGCCGCAGCGCTGGCCCGGATACAGGAATTTTAACTGACATCTTAACC